GGTGAGGAGCCAGCACCTCACGTGTGTGTTCATGGGCAGTTGCCTGCCATGCAGGGGTCTGGGACTCATCTGCTGTGGGACACAGGGATCCGTGTGGATGTGCCTGCAGGGCTTGTGCCAGGAGTTTGTGTTGGCGCCCAGGTGCTCTGCTGTCCCTGTGCCACCAGGCTGCTCCTGGGGCTGTGGGTGCCGGAGGCTTGGGGCTGGCAGGCAGCTCTCTGCAAGCCCAGCTGGTCCTGAGTGACTCTACTGGGTGCCTAGTTTGTGGAGCTGCACTCATGTCGCAGGTCTCAGACAGAGCTCCTTGTCTTCCTGTCCTCCCTCTCTGTCCATGGCAGGAGCACAGGGATGGGGAGAGGTGATAGTACTGGAAAGGAAAGGCAAGGGAAGGTGGAGCAGGAACACCCAAGTGAGAGGTAATGGAAAATCTGTCACTGCAATGTTGCAATCAAATATGGAGCCTGGATTGTGTTCTGTGGTGCCACTTTGGGCTGCTGTGGGGTGGTGGTACCCATCTCTCCTGCCAGTGAGCTGGGAGGCCCTGAAGCAGCCAGAGAAGTGAGGATGGGGGACAGGTCCTGGCATGCAGATGGGGAGAGCCCTCTCCCACCAGCCTGCCATACACCTGCTGGTGGGGAGCACTGGTGCTGCTGTCCCCAGGGGGTCCTGAGCATCCTTACCCTCTGCTGTCTCGTTCACACTGTGTTGCCCACAGCCCTGGGCCAAACCCTGCTTGGATCTGGTTGTGCCCCATGGCTGTGTGGACCCAGGAGGGTGGGAAGGTGAGGAGCTGTGGGGCTGGAGGGGCACTTAGATGGGCTTGGCTGCTCCAGCATGGCTCTGAGTCCTGCTCTTGCTGACACAGGCCAGGAAACCATCTCATCCTCCCAGTGCTGCCCACCAGAGATGGTATCTCAGATGGAGGAACACTGTACTCTGAACCAGCAATTGCCCAGAGAGGGGTTTTGCTCCTTTGCCTTGGCCCTCTGCTGGCTGCTCTGCCCCTCGCCATGCAGTGGGGTGGAAGGAGGCCTGCAGGCTGGCTGAGGGTCCTGCCTGCAACACTTTGCATGTGGATCTGCACTGCAGCAGGACAGCAGCTGATTTCTTGGGCTCAGCCCTGGGTGAACCCAGTGCCTGGCAAGAAACACTGCTGACCCTCTCCCAGCACACCATGGTCAAGCTGCCTGCCCTCAGAGCCGGAGAGATGCATCCCGTGCAGATGCTACGTGATGAAGTAAGCAGCCCCGTGGAAAATGGAGAGAGACTTGCTGGAGGCTGCCCTGGCCCCATGAACCAGAGCAGGAGGTTGAAGGCTCATGGCCAGGAAAGTGCCTGCAGTAGGTGAGGTTTTGTTGGCAGAGAGGCAGGAAGAGACAGGGTGGATGGGAGCCACACCATGCTTTAGGGCTGTGGCTGGAAATCAGACAACCCTCTCTTGCGCCCGAGTGGCTCAGCTATGTAGGGGCTTGGGTCCTAAGGAAAACATCACCTTTCCGCTTGGCTGGAAGGAGGCCCGAGGAAGTGGGACACCCTGCCTGGGGTATTCCTTGTTCCCCCCTCGGCTGCGCTCCCCAGTGAGGATGTACTGAGTTGGCTTTGTTGTGCACTTGGAGGGAGCCCAGCAAGCGAGTGGCTTGGGGCCGGAGGGCTTGCCTTGCCTTGCTGTGAAGGAGCTAAATATATATGTCTTGGCCACAAAATCACAGCGTAGCATAATGGTCGGCACCAGCTGTGTGACGGGGAGAGGAGCTGCCTGGCCATGCCCAAGAAGGGCAGGAAGGGATGGGGTGGGGGATGTGGGAAGGCAGCTCAGACCCTTCCCGGGGGACATACGGGGCACCACTGCTGGCGGTATGGCATGGCATGGCATGGCATGGCATGAAATCCTCAAACCATCTCTGCCTTTTCTGTCTCCTGGCTGCACTGTGAGAGGCTGGGGAGGGGACAAGCTGCCGGCTCTGCCTGGGCTCTCAGCTTTGTTTCCAGCTATTTACCAGGCTCCTTTCCCTGTGCTTAGCTCTCTTATTCATTCCTTTGTGCCTGTGACTGCTTTGAAGTGCATCTGTGATCGGTCTGACAGCATCCCTCTCCTCCAGGGATGCCTGTCGCTGAGTTCCTGTGGGGATTTGCCATCTTTGTCACCGGTCTGGGCTTTGTCAGTCCTTTCCTGCATCCTCCCAGGGCTGCAGTGGGATGGATGGGGCACAGCCCAGCCCTTTGCAGAGACGCAGCTGCTGCTCCAGTTGCTTTTGCTGAATAAGCCTCCGGCTGGAAGCAGCACTGACGTCAGACCTTGGAAATACCTGTAACAAGGCCCCAGAGCTGGCTTGGCACAGCCCCCAGTGCTGAGGCTTCGAGGAGGGATGCTCCCTTCCCACCCCATAAAAATGCACCCACCTCTGGCCCACGCCAGCTGCCTTGCCTGGGCACGGCGGGTAATTAAGGGGTGAGCCGCGTTGTCTCCAGGGTGGGGCTGCCACAGAGCCGTGGGGAGCAGACTGCCTCAGCAGTCCCCTTGGGTGCTTTCCTGCTCCTGACCTCTGATTTTCCTTGGCTCTAGCAGTGTCCCTCATCAGCGTGGGCTGCACCCCCTGAATGGTGCAAATCCACCCCACAACTATGTCCTGCAGCTGGCCATGTACCTGGCTATGCCTCCACCTCTCCTCCCCAGGGGCTTTTCCTCTAGGAGAGAGGTTTATTATCCATGGGTACCTGGTGCCCACGATGGCGAGGCAGGTGACCCAGGGCAGGGAAACCCCCAAGTTACACATAGTTGGCAGAATCTGAATTCCTGCAGCCAATACCCTTAACTCTGCCCTTCTCAAGGTGCTGCGTGGCTAGTTTAAATTTGTCAGGCTTGAGGGGACCATCTTGCCACGGGCTGTGTGTAGGTGTGGGATCCAGCAAGTGGTGCAGGACACATGTGTGCTCGGTGCGATGCTGACAGGACACGGGCTCTGGCCCGTCCCTTCCCAGCATGTCAGGACATGGCATTCAGTATCAGAGGCTGGGTGCAGTGTGATGTCTGGCTGAGCAAAGCCTGTGCCAGAGCCCCATGCCATCCCACGCTCCCTGCATGGAGCTGGATGGAGCCTGGGAGCTGCTTTGCCCAGGCTGCTCTTCCAGTGCTGATGGTGGGGTGCCCCCCTGGAGTTAGGGGATGTGAAGTGAGGGGTGGCCCCAGAAGCTGCTTGGGGATCTCTGCTGTAGCAGGACCATGTGACCAGAGACTTCTCTGGAGCTGATGCAACAGTGGAGCAGATGTGACCCCGTGACAGGAAATCTGGGCGCTGGTGCTTTCCCTCTGCAGTGATTTATGGGGCAGCACGACCACGGGCGGGACGCGGCTGCTCTGGAAATGGGCTGGGGTGGCTCCAAGCTGCTTCCTCTGCTCAGCATGAACAATGCTGCCTGGAAAGCTGCCCTCACTGTGCCGGCCGTGGCCCCTGGGAACCCTTCTTTGCAGCCAGAGGATGCCTGACCAACCTTTGTGTCACACTTGCACCCGCAGGCAAGGGGCTGCCCCTACCGTTCCCGGGCTGTCCCCATGCCCTGGGAGCAGGATGGTGTACCGGGCCACATCCTCCCTCCTGCCTTGTCCCCTGCCAGGGGCTGCGGGTGCCAGGAAGGTCCCTCTTGTTTTGCACAGTCCGAGGGGTGCCTTGGTGGGGGGGTGCATTTATCAGGGAGCAGCAAGGATTTACAGATGCCTGAAATATTACGGTGGGGGGGACATCGCAGGGGCATCTCATTTTGTGGGGGGCAGGAAGGAGCTGGCGTGGGATGTGACCGGCTGTAATTGCAATGGCCTCTGGAAAACATCCGCTGGGAGTTTCCTCCTTGCTTTCTACCCGAGACCACAATGTCGCTGGGCCCGGGCAGCGGGGGGAGCCGGGGGGTGACGCAGCCGAAGTGCAGCCTGGCCTGGCTGTGCATCTGCTGTGACAAAGCCGAGTGAGCGGCTCTTTGGCCCCAAGCCCCTGGCTCAGCTTTCAGCCCATCACGCTCTGTTTCCCTCCCTGGCCGTCCCAGGGAAGCACCCGTTCCTGCTGGGGGGAGCTGGAGGGATGCAGGGCTCCAGTGACAGCCCCAAGGCAGCGAGGTGCTGAGACCTCTAGACCTCTGTGTCCCTCTTGCTTTTGGGGAGTGCTTGTGGGGCTGGGGGCTGTGTGCCCTGGGGCTGGTCCTCTGCCCCCAGGGGTGGCTGAGGGCTGCAGAGGAAGGGGAGGACAGGGGCAGGCCCTGACCCCTTCCCCATGGGCTGCCTGCTGCAAGGGGCTGGGGGGCACAAGCCCCCGTGAGTCCCTGGGCTCAGGGTCCAGCAGGGATTTTCCCTGGCAGGTTTGAGCAGGCAGGCACAGACCCCAGCTGCGGTGGGGCATCCCTTCACCCTGCTGTCCGCTCCCACCTGGCGTTTGGTCCAACAGCCTGGACTCGTGTGTGTAATCACTGGGAGGTTGGTTCAGAGCTGCTTCCCACTGATGCTGGTCCCCCAGGCCCATCCTCCACCTGCTTGCTTGGCGATGCTCTTGGGGCTCTCCCCTGCACCCCAGTGTGATGGCTCTGGCTCTGCCCCCTCATGCTGCCCTCCTCTGCCACCAGCCACCTCACTCTCCACGAGGGCTGATTTTTTGGGTGGTGATGGCAGTTGTTTCGGCTTATCTTGGCCCTGTGGCGTGCCCCGGATGCAGCTGTTTGCCTTGGGAGGAGAGTGGCTCTGGAAGCCAGGAAGTGCCTCTGGGGAGCTCTTGACCCCCATCTCGACCTGATGCAAACAGGTGACATTTGCTGAGGTCCCTGGGGGGAAAAATGTTTGGGAAACCCGCCGTCACGTAGGAGGTCTTCTTGTAAACCAGGGCTGGGCTCTGGTTGTGCTTTTATTTGCTCGTTAAATATTTTATTTGGCTCTTCTGATTTAGTTTTACAGTGGCTTTAGTGCGATCATGCTGTTTTCCAGCTGTCTCTGCACATGTGCAGGGCAGAGGGAGGGTGAAAAGGAATCAGTGGGGGGCATGGGACAGCAGCCGGCCCCTCCGGGAGCTGGGAGGGTCAGTGTGAGGCTGGGGTTGCAGGATGAGGACTGGCAGCCTGTGCTAAGTCCTGGTGTGCTCCTGGAGACATACAGCTTGGGGCCAGCTGGAGGTGGTGCGTTCATAACTGGTCTCAAACCATTTTGTTTCCCTGAATTTTCCCACTGATGCTTTGAAACTGTTTTCAGCGCCAGCAGTGGGTTGCTCTGCAGGTTCATGGTGCTCTGGGGCAATGCAGGGATCGTGCCCACGTACCCGTCTGCACGTCGCTCCTGCTCCCGGGCTGTGGGTGGGGGGTAGCATCTGCACGCCCATGAGATGGGTATTTTCTGGGGTCAAGCATCCGTTCTTGGTGATGCTGGAGGCTGTCTGCCATCCTGTCCTCCTGGCTGGAGGCAGGTGGGTGTCCTGGGAGCAGCACCGGGGGCTGGAACTGCGGCCAAGGTTCCTGGGGAGCCCAAGAGGTTGGGTGTGCAATGGGGGAGGCATGACTAAATGGGTGGGGTGGGCATGGTAACACTAAAAGTTTGAATTGCGAGCAGGGTCATTCTGGGTACCGTGATGGGTAAAAATAGATGAAGAGAGTAGAAAGGAAAATGCTACTGTTGCTGGATGGGTGCATGAGAAAGGGTGTCTGTACAATGGGAGGGGGTCAGAGGCTGGGGGGACCTGAACAGCCCCAGGGACCCTGCAGGCTGCAGCAGGGTGGTCCCTGATTAGCACAGCATTCTGATGAGCAGCCCCCCTCGAGTGCAGCCCCCCATGGTGCCTGGCTCCTGTCTTCCCCCAGTCTTTAGCGGGTGCTGGGCAGTTGCTCACCCATCTTGTATTCCCTGCAGCTGAGAAGGTGTCCTCCCTGGGCAAGGACTGGCACAAGTTCTGCCTGAAGTGTGAGCGCTGCAACAAGACCCTGACCCCAGGTGGGCACGCTGAGGTAAGAGCCGCTGAGGCAAAGGGGTGGGGGAGCTGTGCTGCCTTGCCAACGTGGTGTGGTGGGCTCTCCAGGGCTCTCCAGCACGCCAGGGACGGGGAGTCCCAGGAATTGGGCTGGAGCAAGTACCCAATGCTATGTGGATGGGCTCTCCCTGTGGAATGAAAGCCCAGGAGTGCACACTGTGGCTTCAAATGCTGCTGCTGCTGTGACCCGTGGTGCTCAGGAGCTCTCGTGCAGTCCTGGGCAAGCCATAGAGGGGTGCTGGCCCCATGTGTGATGCCCCAGCTGTGCCACCCTGGCATGGGCTCCCAGGCAGCCTGTGGTGGGGCTCAGCGAGCCCAGGCAGGCACTTGAAGCAGCTCCATGCACCGGGCAGGCTTGCTTGGGCATTGCACTGGCTTTGAAGGCATGCAGGTGCTGAGAGCCTGTATATACAAAAACACCAAAAATCATGGATGCACTGGTTGCCATGGTGATGCTAGCTCAGCACTGGTGCTTTCAGTGCCCCGAGGCTTATGCTGGAGTGCAATGCCACAGTGGCTGCCCAGCTCTTGGGTGTGAGAGGGTGCTGTGCCGGCAGTGGCAGGTGCTTGGGCCTGGGAGCAACTGTGTTCCTCTTGTGGGATGCCCCAGCGTGACAGCTGGTGCCCTGGGTTTTGCACAGCGCCTGTCATGCCAGAGTGTCACCAGCTCTTTAGCATGGTTTCAGCATGGGACACAGCTGGGGAGCAGGTGGTGGCAACAGGGATGGCTGTGCTGGTTGTTACCAGCCCGTGGGGGAGTGGGGCTGGTCCTGCTGGGGAGGATGGGGCTGCGCAAGTGGATCTGTGCTTTGGGCTGGGTTAAGCCCGGGGGATTTGCTGCTTCTCCATATAAGGCCAGATTCTGCTTCCGTGGGGGATGGCAGCCAAGCCCCCACTGACTGTGCTGAAGGCAGGATTTGGCCCTTCTTTGCTTTTTCTCCTTCCTTTCAAGCCAGCATGTCCAGCCGGGTTGGAAAGGTGGTGCAGGGAGACCAGCTAACTGTTTACTCTCCCCTCTGGCATGGTAACACTGCAAGTACACTGTTATTTATGCCTTGCAATATTTTGCAGCAGCCTATTGCCAGCCCACTGCCTCCTCACTGCCCCAGCCTTGTCCCCGGCTGTTCCGAGCCCTCGCCTTTGGCACGGCACTGCTCAGAGAGGCGAGGGAAGGGACATGGCTCCTGCTCAGCTACCGCCCTGCCTGTTTTGGGCAAGGTGTCCTTGCCTTGCAGTGGAGGGGTTGTAGGGTAGTAGCATGGGGCACGAAACAGGGCTGAGATGCTGAATAGAGCTGAGCAGGTGATGGAGTGGGTTTGTGCCTGAGGACACGGGCCCCCTGCCCCAGCCACAAACACTCTTGCTTTTCTCTTGGACTTGGTTCCTGCTGGCCCATGAGAAACGACTGTGGGGAGTTCTGGGGCTTATCCCCCGCTTCATGCCTTCCTGTGATAATTGCCCCCGGCCGATAACAGGGCCAATAGCAGCTGGGCTGGGACCAGTGCCCGCCTGGGGCCGCTGATCTCAGGCTAAGGCAAGGGGGGAGGTGGAGGGGAGGAAGGCAAAGCTGGGTGAAAGCCACAGTGCTCTGTGCACCTAATAACGGCCTGACAGCACACAGGTTGCTTGATGGGCAAAGCAATGCCTCACTGGGTCCTGGTGGCCCGCTGCTGGATTGGGGCTCAGAGGTGCCTCAGCTGAGCTGCTGCAGGGTGCTGGTGCTCCAGCGATATGGAGTGCACAGAGCAGCCAGGGTGTTTGATGCAGGCACAATCCTTGAGTGCTCAGGTTGGGTTAGGCTGTTGCTGGAAGACCTGCAGGCTGAGGGTGTCCAGTGGGTGCATTTTGCGGTGTAGGCACGGCCACGGTGGTCTCTGAACATTGGTGGGGATGGAAATGATCCCAAGGGAACCGCAGTTGCCATTTGGCATCCTAACACTCCCCTTTCTCCACAGCACGATGGGAAGCCCTTCTGCCACAAGCCCTGCTACGCCACGTTGTTTGGCCCCAAAGGTACGTCCATGCTCTCTCTGTGCCTATGTGGCCATGCCCAGGGCTGCAGGAGGGGCCGGGTGCCCCCATCCCTGCTGGTGACCAGCTGTGGCCCTGAAACCACCCCAGGAGCCAGGCTAACATGGGCTGAGCACCAAGCCAGTGATTTGCAGTCCCAACCGTGCCATCCCCTTGTGCAGAGGTCGAAGGAGGGAGATTGGAGGGAGGGAGGGATCTGTCCTGACAGCTGTTTGGTTTTTTTTTTTTTTTTCACTTGGAAAACAAATTCCTGTTCAAACAGAAGGTGGAGTCACTCTCCTATCCCAAACATGGTTGGAGAAAGCCCGGGTCAGGAGAAAGCAGGCTGGTGCCAAGATGCATCAGTGTTTGGTGTTTGCAGTGGCCCTGTGGCTCAGTGGGGCTGGGGGAGATGGGACAAGGGGCTGGGAAGAGGATGGAGATCCCAGGTGCTCCCAGGCCACCACAACCTCTCTATGCCCCACTGCAGGGGTGAACATTGGTGGGGCTGGGTCCTACATCTATGAGAAGCCGCAGATCGAGGGGCAGACCGCTCCAGGACCCATCGAGCACCCGGTGAAGGTGGAGGAGAGGAAGGTTAACACCGCACCTCCCAAGGGACCCAGCAAAGGTGAGGGACAGGGCAGGACAGGCAGCCCAGCCCTCTGCCATGGTGTTCAACCCGTCCAGAGCCACTGCATTTGGCGATGCTATGGGGTGCAGGGTGTGTGCAGGGAGTCCTCCACACCGTGTGTCCTGGCTGACATGTCCCTCCATTTTCCACACCCATGCCTTCTCTCCTTCCAGCCTCCAGCGTCACCACCTTCACTGGAGAGCCCAACATGTGCCCACGCTGTGGCAAGAGAGTCTACTTTGGTAAGGTGGCAAGTGGGCAGTGGGTGTATGCCTTGGGGTGGCACAGCCCCATGGTGCTGGGGCTCTGTGCAGGAGCCTTGGGGCATGCCAGGGGGATGGGAGGGAGGTTTTGGCTCAGAGATAGGGTCACGGGCACAGAGGGATGTGCCCATGGAATCTGCAGGAATGGGTCCTCTTAAAGGAGCTCCTGGATGCAGGGCTTCATCTGGATCGTGTCCCCTGTTGTGACCTCCAAGGTGGGTGGCATGGGCTTAATAGCTGTCCTCGACCAACCTCTGTCACCTACAAGGCAGCAGAGGGCTGGGGGAGATGCGGGAGGCTGGGGTGCACAGGCCTGTCTCAGGATTTTGTGTGCAGAGGTGATGTCCCTATGGGGTGTGTTCCCCCTCGGCATGTGTGGAGGGGGGGCAGTGTGACCCTCTCTCCTTGTCCCCCCTCTAGCTGAGAAGGTGACTTCACTGGGGAAGGACTGGCACCGTCCCTGCCTACGCTGCGAGCGCTGCAGCAAGACGCTGACCCCGGGGGGCCACGCCGAGGTAAGGATGTCCTAGCCCCAAGAGCCCAGGGCAGTGCAGGGGGGGGGCATGCAAGCGGGGCAGGGCTGCTGGGCTGGGCTGTGCCGCGCTGGTTGGGCAGCCCCTCCCTTTGCAAGAGGGTAGGACAGGGCTGGCAGGAGCAGCTCCCCGGCCTGGGGGAGCACTGGGGATGCTGAGTGTCTGCAAGGGATGAGCAGAGCGGGAGAGGTGCCCAGCCAGGGGGATGTGTCCTGGGGACTGGCCTTTCCCCAGCCCCCTGCCCTGGGTGACGTGCTTCTTTCTCTGCCCCGCACAGCACGATGGACAGCCATACTGCCACAAGCCCTGCTACGGGATCCTCTTCGGGCCAAAGGGTGAGTGCCTGGGGGCACGTAGGATGGGGAGATGGTGTGGGGATACCCAACCCACCTGGGCTGCCACTTTCCATGCTCATGCCACCACCCAGAGGGGACATCTCTATGGAGCATGCCACCTTCTCGCCCGGCTTCTCACCCTCCTGTGTCTCCCCCCCCATGTAGGTGTCAACACTGGAGCTGTGGGAAGCTACATCTACGACAAAGACCCCGAGGTGAAGAACCAGCCGTAGATAGCATCCCTCTGCCAGCCCGCCTGCCCGCTCTGTGCCCCTGTACTAACCTGCTCGCAGCCAGAGCAGACCTCACCAGGCTGGCCACAGAGCTGTGCTCTCTCTGCTGTCTCTACTCCGGGCAGGACAGCCCTGTCCCCTGGGTTATATATCATAGTCTCTAATATAAGCTTCAGTGTTTAAAGGCAAAGGTAGAAGGTGTCTCTGGTGGTTCCCAACGCGCTCTGCCCTTCCTAGCCCTCCCACCAGCCCCCTGAGTATGGGAGGCAGCGCGACAGGGGTGGGAATGTCACTGTGTGCAGGGGTGGCTGGTGGCCCCTGAGGGGTTGAGAGCAAGAGGAAGGTGGTGGCAGAAGTCCTGCCATGGGAGGGTGCTCCATGCTGCCCCCCCCACATGGAGGGCAATGGAGCCGGGCAGGCATCCTGTAGCTCTTGGGGAGGGGGGCTAGTGGTCAGGGCACCCATCCCTGTTCCTCACCAGCTGCTGGCAGCACTGCCCTTCTTCTTGGCCCTTCTTGGGCTCCATGCCCTGGCTCTTACTCTCCCCAGGGCCTGTGGCCAACCCCAGCCACCATTGGGGTTGCAGGATCAGGCATCACACTGCATCCCCATCCTTGCCTGCCCAGGGCATCCCTGTACGTGTACCGGGGCAGGTGCCCAACCTGCTCTGCTGGCTGGTTTGGGTTGGTGGCCCCCCCAGCCTGGTCTCCCATGGCTGGGGGTGCATCTGGTGGCCACAGCCCTGGGGGAGTAGGCTGGTCCCCACCTTTGGAGGGCAGAGCGCATTGGGCTGGTGGCTCAGTGGTGGGATGCCCACCTGCTTCCCAGAGCCGGAGGTTTCTCATTGTTGTTATTTATAAGCAGTTGTACATGTGCCCCTTGCTTTGGAGAATGACACGTGACCCCCAGTCTCACCTGTCCCCCCCGCACACTCCCAGCCCCACTGCTGCCCAGGAGGCCAGGGAGGGGGCTGGTGCAGGGGAGCCTCCAGGGCGGCAAGCCCTGGGGTGCCAGCACCCTGCTCTCCCCAGTCTCCCTGCGCAGTTGCAGGGCTGACTTTTGTTATTTGCTGACAATAAAGGTTTTGAGAGATGTGTTGAGTGGCTCAGCTCTGATCAGAGGCAGGGGAAGCTGTGCATGCCTTGCAGCATTCCTCTGCTCCTGGGACAGTGTGGGGATCCTGCTGCTGTGGTCCTGCCCCGACTGGCTCTTCCTGGGGCAAGATGGAGCAGCCTTAACCCCAGCTGCTCAGGCCATGGGTGCAGCACAAGCCATGGCTGATCCCCAGGCTGTGAGCAGGACGGGATGGGATGGGATGGGATGGGATGGGATGGGATGGGATGGGCTGTTCCCCCCAGCCTGGGCTTGCTGAGTAGGTGCAGTGCCTGAGCAGGGCTGCGGGTGGGAAAGCCCAGCCTGGCAGCCGCAGGGCAGGAATGCAGTGTGGGGGGCATGGGCAACCCCCCCTCTGAAACCCCTGGGAGCTGCCATGTCCCTGGCCAGAAACCAGGCCCACTGCCAGGCATGGTTTTAGACATCCAGCTATTCCCCCTAGGAGCTCAGCATCTGGAAAGCAAGGCATGGAGGCTGGGGCTGCCAAGGCAAACACTGGCTCTGGGAACTGCTGCTCCAGCTTGTCCCCTCTGACAGGTTCTTGCGAGAGCCCCCTTGGGCTGCCTGCTGGCTGGGCCCCCTGGGGACTCGGGCACCCTGCCTGCCCTGTTTGCTGGGGAAAACAGGGACCTGGTGCCCCTGCAATGTCTTGCATCCTTATAGCAGCCTCAGCCCTGGAGCTGCTCCACCACCATGAAGCAGAGGGGTGGGTGGATGCCAGCCACAGCCCCCAGCCTTGCTCCTCACCCAGGCAGGGCTAGGAAACGCAGCAGGCGCTGCACGACAGGAACACTGGCTCTGCCCATGCACTGCACCTGCAGGCAGCGTTTGGCCACGGTGGCATCCCCTAGGCTCAGGCAGCTGCAGAGCAGCAGGCTCAGGAGCTGCTGGTTTTCCCTCTCCCCGCAGCGATCCCAGCGGCACACAGACTTTTCCCAGACACGGAGGGCTTGGCAGCATGTTTCCCGGGCTGGGCAATGGGCTGTGTGTTTGTGTTTTGGTGGGGTTTCTATAGAGACTTGACCCCTCTGATGCTTTTGGGAGCAAGGCTGCTGGGTAAATCAGAGCAGTGTCACACAGCCACCTCCTTCCCTGACCCGCAGCAGAGAGCTGGGACTTCGCAGCCAAACTTTGCAGAGTTTACCCTATGTAGCAGCAGCGGTGCTGGGGTGGGGGTCCCCATCACCCATCTGGGATCTGGTGCAGCTGCCAGCAAAGCCCTTGGCACAAATCCAGCTCTTGTTGCAACACTTATTTATTATCATTAATTAACTAGGTTAACATGCCAGCCTTTTTGCTAGATTGTTGCAATCCCCTGCAGCAGAGGGTTTCCCCGATAGATTGCACAGGCTGATTTTCCTCCCCACGGCCTTGCCTGAAGCTCAGCAGCAGGTTTGCTCTCCCCAGCACCCACCTGGCCCCATGCCCTGCACCCATTCTGTCTCGGCAGCCCTAACAGCGTCCTCACCATGGGCACTGGCCCCCTGATGTGGGGGCCAAGAAGCTGGCTCCCCCTGAGCGCGGCTGGGTAGGATGCTCACTGCAGTGGTGAGCTGGGCACAGTCAAGGCCTCATCTGAGACCAAAAGCATGGCCATGGTGGGATGGGAAGGTACTGGCTAAGCCTGTACTGAAACAGTGAGGAAGGCAGTTTGGGGTAGCAGCGATGGGAGGGGATGCCCCCAGGGCTCATATGTGGGTTATTCTGAGTGTGAAGGGGTATGGGACAGGGTGGGTACAGCACCCCAGCTGCTGCTCGCTCCCACATGGTGACCACAAAACACAAGATTTTATTTTGGTTTGGGGATGGATTTTTTTTTTCCCCTTCCATTATTTTTGGTTTACATTTTCTTTTCCCCATGAGAGTTTTGCTGGGGGAATGCAATGAAATTAAAAATAGATGAAATTCAGCTCTGCTGCGCAAGGGGTTGCTGGGAAGCCAACATCCATCACAGCTTCCTGCTACCCCAAAGGGCACAACTCGGCTACTCAGGCTCCAGGTGGGTGATGTCCCTTCACTGTCCCCCCACCCTGATGCGGTGGGGTGACTGTGACTGGGCACCCCTCGTGGCAGAAGGTGGCCCCCCAGGTGCAGCAGATACCCACAGGGTGGGTGTTAAGACCAGGAAACTGAAGGATATAGCAGGGATTTGGCATGCCATGTGGGGTTATCTGTGTATGCCGAGGGGTTGGGGCTGTCCCTGCTCTGCTGGATTGGTGTGGGGACCAAGGCGCCAACACAGTAGAGTGGCACTTTGATAGAGCAGAGAAGGCAGCTCTGGCCTCTAATCCTTGGTACATTTTTGTATTTATTTTTGGGAGGCCTATGTGAGCTGAAAATGCTCCTTTACTTGAGTCTCAGAAAATATTCTTCCCCTTGGGAACATAAAATATTTTATATTTTTTCAACTCAGACTTACTAGTGGGATAAAAAAGTTGGAGGGCTCTGGTGATTACAGATATGCTCTCCAGGGTATGGAGGAAAATAGAGAACAAAGTGGATGCAGCTTTGCTTGGAAATCCCCCAAGCCCTGTGAACTTGTCCTGGGCAATTACCCTTGCTGGCTCCCAGCTTTCCTGGGAGCCAGCAGAGCTCTGCAGGGAGCTGTGTCTTGCAAGTCCTCACTGGGCCACGATGTGCCAGTGGTCAGCCTGTTTTAAGGGCAGTCCAGGTGATGAGTGCCAGCCCGGGTATCCACGAGAAGCAGGATTGTCACCTAGTGGTTCTTCTCAACAGAAGGCTGAGGGCGCCCGTGCCACCAGAGACAGGCCTGCATCGCTCGCGCTGTCAATAGTGAGTCAGGAAAGGGACTGGTGAATGTACAAAGGCTGTGGCATGGCAGGCTGCACACATGGAAAACACCAGGGAGGGACTTGCCAGGAGTAGGAATGACGAGGGTGGCCCTGTGCTACAACATCTGAGCTAGTCCATGCAGGAAAGGGAGATGCAGCCATCGTGGTGCGGAGGGGGTCCTGAAATGCAGGGAGGTGGCAGGACAGCATGGCTGTGGCTGGCAGCACGGCTCTGACATGCCAGTGGCTGGAGCAGCAGAGCTGGGCAGCGAAGCAGACCCATTTAAAGCATTTGCTGGGAAGTCAATAAATAGGAGCCAAAAGGGATGAAGTGCTGGAAGATGTGATTTAAGATAACGATATTAAAAGTGACACAGTAAGCACAGCTTGCTTCCATGAGGGCCAAGAACCATCTCCAATACTCCCTTAAGTCAGTGGTGTGGCTCTAGCAGGCCTCCCGGGCTTTGGCTTGGCCCCAGGGGGAGGTTTAAGTACTGGGTGTAGATACTGGAGAGGGTGTAGGAGAGCAGGCAGGGATGAAGGGGAAGGAATGGCATGAAACTAAGCAGAGGAGCGTTTGGGCTGTAAATCTCCCTGCCAGTGCAGCACACTGGGCTGTTGCGCAGGGAGAGCTGCTGGTGCAGGCTCTGGCCATACCCCTCAGCGGTTCCCCAGCCTGTTGCTGCCTGGGGGCATCTACGATGGAATTTCCCCTCTCGGGATGCTCTGCAGCAGCTGCCCTGGGGGCTTTGGGGACTCCTTGACTACCCTGGGACTGCTTGCTGGGGAAGGAATACCTGTGCTGGTGGGATGGAGGTGTGCACACTGCTAGTGGGTGTGAAAACCTGCAGCTCCTCCTCTCACTTTCCTCTCTCTTGCTCTGTCCTGACCCTCCTTCTTGCTTGGGTAAGGCAGAGTGGAGCAGCTATATTTATCTCCTCTCCCTGTGCCGCCACCATGGCATGACTATGCCAAGCTGCGTGCTGACAGAGAGAGCAAACACCTCTGCACCCCTTCCCTTTCACCTCACCTCCAGTGGATGTTTAACCGGGGATAAAAGGTGTGGTGTCAACAGCCTGGACCCAGCCCAGGGCAAATGGTGCTGCCAGGCGAGCGCCCCATGCCAGGGCAGGGCTGGGGAGGGGATCCCTGGCACTGGTCCCCTGCCAGCAGTGCCCACGCTCCCCACCAGTCCCTAGCACGGGTGTGAATCTCTCTGGCAGGCAAAGATGATGCCTCATGGGTGCTGGACAGCTTCCCAAAGCAGCAGGCGTTGCTTCCTCAATGATCCTGGCTGGATTCGATAGCCACAACAGAAACAGGAGGGACTGTGCCAGGAAAATGCACCAAACCCTCCCCGGCAGGATTTAGCCAGGAGGTTTCCTTGTGCTGCTCCTAATGGAAAGCTTGCAGAAAAGAGCAGATGATAGTGGAGACTTTGGCCAGACCATACGCAGGGAGACTGAGAGAACAGTTCCTGGATGAAATCAGAAGAGATTTTCCATGTAGCTGGGACTTGGATGGGCTGGAAAGGCGAGTGAGGGCTACCACCCTCTTCTGTCCCATGGATGGAAATCCCATACGGATAGCTGGTGGGGCCCTGCACAGGCAGCCCCACACTCTCCCAGCAGCAGGGCTCACCCCATCCTCGCCAAGTCCCTGTGCCAGAGCAGCGTCTCGCTGAGCTGGGAGCTGCCCCAGTGCTCCTGTGTTTGCTATTGCTCTTGCAGTGTAATATTAACTGCGTGATAATCATTCACACCCTGGCTCTTGAGGTTGAGAGCTGACCTGACAAGTGACTGTTGCTGGCAGCCAGCTGCCTTAACCTGTCTGGAAAAGTTTTTACAGTTTTTGCTAGAAACAGCTGTGTGATTGCCTGTGTCCACAGCAGGACGGAGTCTGCACCGCATCCAGGAGGGCAGCAAACAGACGTTGGTGCAGCAGTGAGCGTGTTTTGCAGGCTCAAACCCTGTGGGGTTTTACAGCAGCAGTGTCACTGTGGGCAGGTGTGCTGGGCTCCCCTGCCAACATCCCCCCCAGGTGGCCCTTTCCAATCCCCTCCCCAAGCCCCCCCACTCCCACACCGCCTTTCCTGCTGCCGTCCTGTTCTCAATTACTCCCAGCGTTGGCTGCCTGTCAGCTTTATGAAGACGTACCCCAGAGTTTTTCCTTAGGGTGTAATTTGCC